CACTGCTAGAATTAATCAATGAATTCAGTAAAGCTGAATAACAATTGGGTTTCTATACATTAACAACAAAACATCAAAAAATAAAGAAAACAATCCCATTCATAGTATCATCAAAAACATTAAAATACTTGGGAATAAATTTTACCCAGGAGGTAGTAGATCTCTAAGACTTTGATGAAAGAAATTGAAAAAGACACAACAAATGGAAAGATATCCTGTGGTCATGGATTAGAAGAATTCATACTGTTACAATGTCCATATTACCCAAATCCATCTACAAATTCAATGAAACTTCTATAAAAGTTCCAGTGACATTATTCACAGAAATAAAAAAAAAAAAATCCTAAAAAAGTCCCAAAGAACCAAAGCAGTCCTGAGAAGAACAAAGCTGGAGGCATCATGCTTCCTGATTTCAAACTTGAATATACAGCTATTCAACAAAGTTAAACAGAATGTTTCTGGCATAAAAATAGACATATAGACCAATGGAACAGAGTTGAGAGCCCAGAAATAAGTTCTCGCATATGTGTTCAAGTAATATTTGCAAGGGAGCCAAGAATCCTCAATGGGGAAAGGATAGGCTCTTCAATAAATGATGTTGGGAACTGGATAACCACATGCAGAAGAATGAACTTGGACTCCTATCTTACACCACTCACAAAAATTAACTTGAAATGGATGAAACTCTTAGAAGACCTAAAACCCTAAAACTGCTAGAGGAAAACATAGGGAAAAATGTTCCTTTACATTGGTCTTGGAAGCAATTTTCTGGATATGACATCAAAAGCACAAACTACAAAAGCAAAAATAAACTACAAGAGGCTATGTGGGACTACATCAAACTAAAAGCCTTCTGCACATCAAAAGAAGCAATCAGGAAAATAAAGAGGCAGCCCGTGGAATGGGAGAAAATATTTGCAAGTCACATATCTGATAAGGGATTGATATGTAAAACAGATGAAGAACTCCTACAACTCAATAGCAAACAAACAACACAATTTAAAAATGGGCAAAAAGGGGCGCCTGGGTGGCTCAGTTAAGTGTCTGCCTTCAGCTCACGTCATGATCCCTGAGTCCTGGGATAGAGCCCTGCATCAGGATCCCTGCTCAGTAGGGAGCCTGCTTCTCCTTCTCCCTCTTCCCCGCCCCGCTCATGCTCTCTTGCACGTGCGCTGTCTCAAATAAATAAAATCTTTTAAAAAATGGACAAAAGAACTGAGAAGATATTTTTCCAAAGAAGACATACAGATGGCCAACAGATACATAGAAAGGTGCTCAACACCACTAATCCTCAGGGAAATGTAAATCAAAACCACAAGATATTACCTCATACCCGTTAGAATGGCTGTCATCAATGCCCAGCTGGCTGGTCAGCCAGGTGAGCAAGGAACTACTGCATCTGGGCTACAGCAAACCCCGTGGTCTGTGAGGGGCACTTCTGGGTATCTGTGTACAGCAGGGCAAGAGATGCCACAGCACTGGCCAGCAGGCCCTCGACCCCAGCCTGGTACCCAGCTTCCAGCTGACCCTCATGCTGCGTCTGAACTTATACCTCTGGCCTAAGATCCAGGGGCTATTCAGCTCCACCATCACTCCTTCCATCTCTGGCTTCAGCCCGTCCCTGACCCGGAGCAAATGGGCTTCCAAATCACCAAGAAATATCTGTATAGCTCCCAAGAACTATTCATTGAGAAGTATTGAACTTGGGCTTGGGGACCAACCCCACCCCCATGGCAGAGACAACTGAATTTGAGGGGTGGACTTAGGCAGGCAGGAGCTGAGAGACTGGTGCCTACTCTTAGGAAATGGACAACAGCCACCTGAGGGGAAGAAGATTGAGGTAGAGGGAACATTGTGGTTCCTAGGAAGCTCACTGAGGTGTGCAGGCGGCTCGCAGTTGGGGGCACATGCTCCCCAGTACTGTAGCATGAAACAAAGGCTTAGGGGGCAACCGGGCTTCTGGCTGGATGTATATGTAACATGTGCCTTATTATTTTTATTGTTCCTGACAATTAAGACAACAGTGGTGTGATAGAGTCAGGAGAATGACTGGGCTGCACTGGCCTCTGCAAGGGATGTGTGCTCCTGGTAGTTGCCCCGGAGAGATGGGGAGGTCACAGAGGTAGTTTGTGTATCTCATGGTCTTAAGGGGCCCAAGGTGTTTCCTGTTTTTGTAGCTTTTGTGTTTGTTTTTTATCAGAGCTTCACTACTGACCTGTCCTAGGCAGCTATCTTACAAAGGCATGAATCTAAGAGGAGGAAGGGTAGATGTTGGAATCATTTAGGGATCTTTGACACCTGAAAGAAAAATGCACGTGGGGGCTGCCTTTGGCTTGTCCCCCTATGTGTACTGAAGAGTTGAGCTGTGAGGGGATGGGGCTGATTGGGGTGGGGGCTGGAACCCCTCCCCCAGAGGAGTGCCATCTGGGTCTTCTACCTAGAACGGTTTACATGAAGATACTCGCTGTTCGTGAATATATTTGGTGTCCAGGTATTAAGACCTATGTAATATTTTTTTTCTTTTCTAATAAAAAAGTTTAAAAAAGACCTATCTGTACCCCATGTTCATTGCAGCATTATTTACAATAGCCAAGATAGAGAAACAACCTAAGTGCCCTTTGATGGATGAAGATGTGGTATGGACACACATGTATGTTCAGCCATGGGAAAGGAAATTTGTCATTTATGACAACTTGACAACTTAGATGCACTTTGAGGGCATTATACTGAGACAAGTCAGTCACAGAAAGACAAATTCTGTATGATACCACTTATATGTGAAGGCTAAAAAAAGCTATACTCAAAGAAACACAGTAAGTGGGACTGGCAGGGTAGAGGAAATGGGGACAGATTGGTCAAATGGTACAAACCTCCAATTATAAAATTAATAAGGTCCAAGGATCTAATATACAGCACGTTGACTATAGCCAATAATACTGTATTATATACCTGAAAGTTGTTAATTGAGTAGATCTTAAATATTCTCATGATATACAAGAGATGGTAATTACATGATCAAATGGAGGTATTAGCTAACGCTATGGTGGTAATTATTTTGCAATATATAAATGTATGAAATTGACATGTTGTATACCTTAAACTTACATAATGTTACATGTCAACTATCTTTCAATAAACCTAATAAGAAAAAGCAAAACAAATAGAGGAGTATAAAGCAGAATAAACAAGAAAGGTTTTAAAATAAGAGAACCTGTCTTACCACGTTCTAATCAGGAAAAGACTTCTTTATGACAAAGCATCCTCCAGGACTGATTTCATGGGGAGCTTAGGCAGGTTCACAATGCTTGGGAAAATGCACAAAATACTTAATTCTAAAAGACTAGAAAGTAAGAGAGGGTGTTGGCTTTACCTGTGGAAATCCACACAGAGGAAACTTTATTTTTTTTTTATTTTTTTTTAAAGATTTTATTTATTTATTAGAGAGAGAGAATGAGAGAGCACAAGAGGGAAGAGGGTCAGAGGGAGAAGCAGACCCCCCGCTGAGCAGGGAGCCCGATGCGGGACTCGATCCTGGGACTCCAGGATCATGTCCTGAGCCGAAGACAGTCGCTTAACCAACTGAGCCACCCAGGCGCCCCGAGGAAGCTTTATTTTACTGTTGGGCCTCACTAGGTTGTTTTAAATCACAATTCAAACTGAATGTCAGGCTTAGCTATTGCCATATTATTTGTGTTTGGAGAACTTTGTTTTAGGTTTTATCTATTAAAAACATCCTTTAGATGTCTATCCAGGTGGGTATATAGAGGCCTAGCTGTGGAGTGCTTTCTTGAACTCAAAAAACTTAAATCACTAAGTCACGTTATCAATGTTATGGCTGCAGAATAAGACTTTTTTTTTTTAATGTTTTATTTATTTATTCATGAGAGTCAGAAAGAGAGAGAGAGAGACAGAGAGAGAGAGAGAGGCAGAGGGAGAAGCAGGCTCCCCGCCTAGCAGGGAGCTTGATGTTGGACTCGATCCCAGGACCCTGGGATCATGACCTGACCAAAGGCAGACGCTTAACCATCTGAGCCACCCAGGCGCCCCTGCAGAATAAGACTTTTATGTCTTTTGTCTTTTTTTAATTTGATTTCCACAACTAGGAGTCTAATATTTTTCTATATAATCTTGTAAGATTTTTAAACCAGTGAATCCTCTTCATGAAAATCTAATGACATAGATGTAATTTTTTCAGCTATCACACATTAGCAATTAACAATTTCTCTTGGAATTTAATATTCGTATTGCTCACAGTCATTGTTTCTAGAAATGTGTATCTTGACAGAAATTTTAATCCTAGATAATTGTTCAAGAATCTCATTGCCAATATAATATTTAAAGTAGATAAAAAAGGAACAAAGCTCTAATCAAAATAAGACAATTTGGTCTGAAAAGTTTTATTTGGTTCCCGATTTCCACCTGTTTTGTATTCTCATTTTTTAAAAATGATCCTGTACATACAGAGTATGGCCCTGGAGGGGAGACTCAAAACAATCAAAAGACTTTGGAAATATTTTATACTGAAAGCATGTCCCTTGTGTTCTCTCAGGAAAGCAGGAGTATGTGAAGCAGAAAAATGAACAGCTCAATCAGAAACAGAACAAAAGACAAAGCTCACTTTCTTTCAGTGATGATTCCATCTGGAGAGGTGCCAAGGGGTTACTGTATTTAGGGAACAAATGTAGGTATTTTTATTTGATAGAAAATCTGCAGTTGACCTACAGTTTCAAACCAAAATTTTTATGTTTCTATTGTTATATTTTGAAATATCGGTATCTGAATATATTTTATTATCTTACAGGAACACTTTGAAAACTTGTATGTTCTAGCATAACTTTTCTGGAACTTTCTCTGTAATAGTTCTAAAGCAAGGAAACTAAGGCATAGCAGTAAATAAATTATGAATTATAACATTTCTTTTTCATTTGCTTTAAAATAGTTGCAGAATTTTTTACATTGCAAAAGCCATTTTTTCCACATATCTTTCTCTCTCTTCTCAGGCAAAGGCTGCATGGACTCAGCACTCCAACCCTAACATAATTTCTTTGTGAATATTGACAACACATACTGTTCCACATGGGAAGAGACTCTTTGTACCTTCCATGCACAATTTTCCTTCATAAACTGTGTTTTAACTGTGATGGAGTCATTGTTTGATGTATACATTTTGCCCTTAACTACTTCTGAGAAGCCTATTGGCTGAAATATACAGCAGCAATATGAGATCTGAGCATCTGGGGCATGCCTATAACAAAGGAAGTCTGTATAATCAGTTTGGTCTTAGGTGGTATTCAAAATAATCCTTAGACCATTTTACAGGAGCTTATCCAAGTACAGCTGAAGATGACTGGCATTTTCAGTGATCATTTGCATGCTCTCCTTTAGATTGCTTTAAAGAATTTGTAAGGTTGTATTGGCACAGTATTATGGATTACATTTTGAAACATAAATAAATCTCTAGATGAAATTCAAACCATATAGTTGTTATTCCAGATATAAAAGTTGAAGGCAGATATATGTGGGAGAGAGGAGAGCTCTAGTAGTCATGGGGCAAGGGCGGTCAGGGGGGAGAAAGCTACGATGCAGTATAATTGAGGAAGAGAACAAAACCCAGAAATTTAAGAGGTGAGCATATGTGGTTAGCATGGGAAGAATGGAAATAATTTTGTATATGGTTCCAACAGATAAAAGTGAAAATTTTGAGGAAGGCAAGGTCCCAAGACAGCAGATTGCCTCTTTGGAGAAAAGAAGTAACTCATATTTTAGAAAAAAAGCATAGAGAAGCAAAACAGTCATTCTTACTACATCTTTTTTTATAATTTCTAAGGTGTTTTCATAGAGGCTTATTTGTTGACTCTAATTTCAAGGGAGGTTTCCATCAGTTATGCCCCAAAGGCCCCATATTCACACGCATATATTACATATCTGATGGGGCCAATGATTATCTTGATTTGCTGTATTTGTCATTCATGTGGATCACAATGAATCACACAAACTTTCTGCCCTACTAGTAAACAGCCATTTACATTCTTATTTAATTTTGCTACTATTTATAGACTTTCCTCTCTCAAGTTTTAAGTAGGAGGATTTCCTTATTAATGTGTTTTCAGGTAGTTTTACACAGCTATGTGTTTTGCAGCAGCCAGAGTGACATCGCTGACTACCTTGAGTACTTCTTCAATATATTTAAGTCCAGGGTCCACAAGTACACATACATTTAAAATATAAAATATTACTTTGTAGAACACTGGTCTAATTTTATGGTGGCATTTTTTGACGTTCTGATAAAATGATGGTTACCTTCTCTTATTCAAAGAGTGGTTTTAATTTTAAATGAAGTACCAAAATAAATCTGTTTTCATTAAGGGAATTTACTCTCAAAGGAACGTGAAGGAAGAAATTATATTCTTGTTCTCACCATGTGCCAAGTATTCTAATCAACAATGTATTTCAAAAGTAGCAAATAAATCTTTGCCTATTTGGTTTTAGTCCCTCTCCCACCCTACACCCCCTACCCTTGATTACCAGACTTTGACACACTAGCCACACCTTTTCAAAAGCAGTATTACTTAGCAGATACAGTATGATTTGGAGAACAACAGTACGATTTTTTTTTCTTAACTTTCAAAATACTGTACATGTGTCACTCACAGTTGGAGATTTTAGAATGCCAAGGAATGTGTTCCACATGTTTCTTCTTGACTCTCCAAAAAACAATTTACTCTAAAAAAAAAAAATCTTTACTACCTTAAAGAATGTCTGGATGACTAAAAAATACAATGGGTCATTATTCTTCAGGATGTTTATACTGCTTGCCAACAAAACACCACAGAATAATTTTACAAATTAGATTTGTGTTTTTTTTTTTTCTTTTTCTCCATTTTCAGGGCACAGAGTTAACTGATTTTGGTTCCAAGTTCTGTAGCAGCACCCTAAGGGCAAAAGTCTTAATATAACACATTAAGTTGTTTCTCATGAGAAGATATTACATCTTCTATTTTATGTCTTACAGAGATTTCCTACTTAATGTTACTTGGTCAGATAAATGTTTAAATGTTGCTGGTGTTTTAATAATAAAAAAAAATGGTGACATTAAAACTTATCTTCATCCTAAATTTCAGAAATGTCTAGGTTAAAAAACACTAACTGACACCACAATGTGCAGAGACATGGGCTACACAGCTTACTAGTAACAATGGAACATTTTTCCTCCCCTGGATTAAAGTGACAAGTGAATTCAATACATTTCTTTTAGAAAAGTATTCTGCCCACAGATCAGATCAATATATTCACTTGAATGTGTGTCTTTTTTGTGCATTTTTTTTTTTTCTAGCAAAAGGATATAGTGGTCCTGGAGGAATCCATGACTCAGAAAACATTTGGAACTGTGACTTAGAAAAAGAGTTTCATATATATTGAGAAGCATGATGATTTATAGTACAATCAACATGCTATCCTCTTAATGTTAAATATGCAGTTTTAACTGTTATATATATTTTTTTTAAGATTTTATTTATTTATTTGACAGAGAGATAGCACAAGCAGGGGGAGTAGCACGCAGATGGAGAGGGAGAAGCAGGCTCCCCACAGAGCAGGGAGCCCGATGCGGGACTCGATCCCAGGACCCTGGGATCATGACCTGAGCCGAAGGCAGCCGCTTAACCGACGGAGCCACCCAGGCGCCCCCTAACTGTTATATATCTTATCAGTAGAATTATATATTAGAAACGCAAAATATGTTCCCTGACTCACCTAACACAGACTGTCTACCACGTGCAAACCTGTGCTATGAATGTCTGATGTTCGGCAGGTATGAGCACCCTGAATGACATTTTATTGAAACTTTATAGGGAGGTCTTAAACATCTCTCATTTCCTTTATAGTTAGGAGAGTAACCATAAACCTTATCCTTCCTCTTTTTTTTTTTTTTAAAAAAGAATGTTTGTCGGTACTCTACAAGTAAGACTTTGAAGGGGACTATTTCAACAACTCACTTTTCAAATATGGAAAGTGAGACCGAAAGAGTTAAAGTAACCCTTCCTAAGTCAAATACCAGTTACTGAAGAACTAAAAGCAAACCCAAAGGCCACATCTATTGTATTCCCCAAACCTTGTCTGGTGTGAAATGATGTTTATAAATATGTGGTTGGTGAAAGGGACAAAAACTTGGGTAAAATTAAACTTGAGTGCTTTCTCCGACTCTCAATTGTCATTTGTCTTTGGTAAAGTGATAATGAGTTATTCGTGTACATAAATCATTCACCTTTGAGTTAGATACCAACTTGACAGTATTACGTTTGGTTTTACATATATTGCAATAAGAAACCAGCAAATTTTGCATAACTATACAGTACTGTACTTCATTTTGTATACAGTTTTGGATTTCTCTTATCCTTAGTGAGATATGATGCCTGGAAGAGTTCCACCTCTGTAAAATTAAATTTCAAATATAGCTCTACTTTAGAGAAGCATGCATGCATTTTTGTTAGATGGCTTACAAACTTTGATATAAATTCTTTCTGGACATGTGAGATGATGTGAGTAATTGATACAAGATTAGGCACTGGCCTGAAATACTGAGCAAGAACAGACCTAATTCTATTAAGAAATGCAATAGTACTTTCAGATGTCTTGTGGACACTAGCTGTAAAGAAGATTCTGAGAGTTCTAAATTAAACATGAATTATGTGAGATGGCTGAAATATATATACACACATACCCACCAATAGCAACATAAAGATACGCATATCTCCTCTTATACTTATATATAGCTATCTTAAACATATTCAGTAATGTAGCATTTCAAAGTTAAAAAATGTGTGTGTGTACATATCATACTCCTATCTTTAAAAACCCATTCTATAATATTGCATCTAACTTTTATTTTTGTCCCCATAGTGAGTTGTACATAGAAACCACTTAATAAATGTTTTTATAAATAGTAAATGAATATTTTGGGTACTTCTACAAAATTGTTCTACATAGTGGGAGGAATCTAATTAATGTTAAATGTCAATAAACAGGAAACTGTTATTAACAAGGTCAGTCATTGGTGTTGTTTTTAGTTCTTTTTAAAGGCCTCCTTCCAAGTGCCATACTCTGTAAAATCATCCTAGTCCTCAAGGCCAGATTCAGAAGTCATTTCCTCCATGCAACTTGCCCTGATTAACCTGGCCTGAAAACTTCCTTCTCCTTGAACTCTTATAATATTTTCCTAATTTCTTGAATTAGTATTTCTCACAGTCTTCCTTCTATATATTCACATAGACATCATAGCTTTTCCACTAGATGATAAGTTTTTTCTATCAAGGACTGTCTCTTAAATATACTGGTATCCTAAGCCTTTTCTAAGTGTATACTTGATAATGTTGTTTGGTTGATTCTTTAGCTTATATAAAGCTGAATATGTTCATAAGAGCTATCATTTCATAGTAATATTGACAAAAAAGGAGGTCTCCCTGTGAAATCAGAAACTGTTCAACTAGTAGACATTTATGTAATTATTATATTGTCTAGTAAGAAACTAAATCTCCTGTAGTCAATTACAGAAGACTTTTGTTCAAGTCAACATGTTTTATTTGACAGGAAAGCATAAACATGACTTCAGTTAATTTGTTAATAGCTTCATGAGCTTTGGCCTGTAACATCCTCTTTAGTCTACTGTGGTTTCCTAATCCAAAACATTGTGGCCTATCAAACAGCAAAATGTTTCGTGATACAGAAGAAAGTACAATGCCCTAAGATGTTTTCCATTCTATTCCTACCATCGAAAAAATGCTGATGGAGACTCCTGTTTGCCACACTAATGATAATTGACCTTATCAAAATATACTTGTCCACAAGATCTGGCCCTGCCACACATCTGATGTTATTGTCTAACACTGTCTCCCTGTTCCTGCCGCTGCAGTCATTGTGGTCTCTTTACTGATCTCAACACACCAAGCATCATCCCTTTTCAAGGCATTTTTCCTGACTTGGTTCATTTTGTCTTAAACATGATTATTTCAGATGAGTACTTAAGTTCACTTTCCTACTTCATCTGAGTCTCAGCTCAAGTACTCCTTTGTCAAGCAAAGTTTCTTGGAAGAATGGTGTAAATTGCCATGTCTTCCTGTCACTTGTTTCCTGAATTATTCTTACCTTGCCGTTTAACCATCTTACGTGTTTTTCTCCTCCACCAGAATGTTGGCTCCATAAGAGCACAAATTCTGTGCATGTTATTTCCCACGACTCTATACCTGGCACCCAGAAGAACATAGGAACTCAACAAATGTTTGTGCACTGGTGGGACCAATAGTTGCCACTACAGAGCATTACCTGAGGTTTTAACTTTTCTAAAGACAAAGACATAACGAGTTACATGAGTGCTAAACACTGATGTTTTTATGGTACTGAAATTTAAATGGAATATACGAAGTGGCTTCTACCACAGGAATTTGGTGAACAGTCCTTGTTTGATCTGTGAAAATAACACCTTCCTTCTTCTAAGAAACTGTTCCCCACA